TAAAGTGTGACCTTTGACAGACACTGAAATTCTGAGGGCTTCTCAATTGTCCCAAGTGGCAGAGGAAGGTCCTAACACATCTTCAAGGAGCACCAGGCTGCTTTGGGTAGTGCCTTGAAAGTGCTGTCATTAGCTGCATGTGTTCCTATACCTTGTAACTGACTGTAGTTGAGACCCATCTATGGAGAAACAGGGAAGAGGTCATTGGAGGCATTGTCCTCCCGGATATGATGTCACACACTTCCATGCTGGATGCTGACCAATGAAGAACCTCATCAGAAACCACAGGTGTTTGCACTGATCCTCTAGAATAGAGTTGGCAAACCATGGCCTGCAGGTCAGATCCAATCCTTGTCCCTACTTTTGTAAAGTTTTACTGTAATGGGGCTATGCCCATTCATTTGCTTGTTACCTAGCGTAGCTTTTGTGCTAAAATTTGTCACAGAGACTGCACAGCCTGCAAAGTCAACAACCTTTACTATGGGGCCCTTCACAGAGCTATTTCAGGGTCCCCCCCTGTTTCTCTTCTCCATTGCCCCACATCTTCACGTTCCAGATTTCTCTACCACCATGTGGGCAACCAGGCAGTATGATGGAGGTGTTAGCTAAAGCTTCCATGGTAATCATATTGCAATGTATAAATATATCAAATCGACATATTGTATACCTTAAACTTACACAATGTTATATATCAGTTACATTTCAATACAAGAAAATAATAGGGACTAACTGAAATATATTAGATAGCACATTGTGGCTGTTTCTTTCTTGGACTTTATTTCAGGTTATAGTACCTTCCATGATGCTAATGAGAACAGAAGAATTAAAAAAAAAATGATGGTCAATGTTAAGTATGGAATCTTTCCTATATTTAGATTTTCTCTTGAAAAATACGAGAACCTGGCTAGAGGGGAGAAAAAAAGACATTTTCAAGGAACTTCATTAGTTTCAGTTTTAGAAGAACTGATTTTTCTTCCTTTTGAAAATTTTTCCTTTCCCAGAAATTGGAAAATAAACCATGCACTTCTGACGAAAAAGAACAGACCCTCCCCTCACTTTTTGAGAAGATTTTTATTAGTAATAGTCACCAGGTTTGTTCCTGACAAGAGATATGGACATCAGCTACTTACTTCCCACAAGCTCAGCTAAAGTGCAAAAGTTTCATACTTTGGGCCTATGACACCCACCCAATATTTGGATCAAGGTTGGGCAACTGACTAAGGAGACTGCATTAATTTTCTAGGGCTGCTGTAATGAAATACATTCAAATAACAGAAGTATATTCTCTCACAGTTCTGGAGGCTGGAAGTCCAAAATTAAGGTGTCAGCAGGGAGCTTGTAAGGGGGGAATCCTTCCTTGTCTCTTCCTGCTTCTGGTAGTCCCAGCATTCCTTCCTTTATGGAAGGATTACCCCAATCTTTGCCTCCATCTTTATGGGCCATCTGCCCTCTGTGTCTGTGTCCAAATTCTCCTCTTCTTCTGAGGATACCAGTCATCATGGATTAGGGGCCCACCCCAATGACTGCATCTTAATTTGATCACATCTGCAGAGAACTTATCTCCAAATAATGTCACATTCACATGTACTAGGAGGGTAAGGGCATCAATATATCTTTTGAGGGGACACAATTCAAGCCATAACAGTGACCAAATATTTATGAACCATGACCAGACACCAAAGGATGAGTGGAGCCAACCACAATCTTTATCTTGGAAATCTGAGATCAAAGTAAAATAGAGTTTTCTCTTTTGAGAGGATGTCATGGATGAGGACTGTAACTAGCCAAAGCCATGAACAAACTGAAATTATAAAGGAGCAGAAAAGATTTATTTATTTTTTTAATTTTTTTTAAAGATTTTATTTATTTATTAGAAAGAGAGAGACAGCTAGAGAGGGACCACAAGCAGGGGGAGTGGGAGAGGGAGAAGTAGGCTCCTGGCCGAGCAGGGAGCCTGATGCAGGGCTTGATCCCAGGACCCTGGGATCATGACCTGAGCCGAAGGCAGACGCTTAACGACTGAGCCACCCAGGTGCCCCAAAGGAGCAGAAAAGATTTAAATAGGTGGAGGGCGTCAAAGAGAACTGATGTGCTTAGTGGACCAGAGATGACGAGAGCCAGAAGGAAAGAGAAGGAATAGTCTGCACCGCAGCTTCAGTTTTTCAAATGAGCTACCTTATAGTCCAGGCCCCTCTTTCCCCAGATGAGATACCCCAGGTGGCTTTTTGTTATTTGAAAAGGAAAGAACAAAGCCCTAACATCTGTGGTCTGTCCATCCACAAGATTCAGGCAGGGAGGCTCAGGTTAGGAGGTGGGAAGAGGGCCAAGAGAGAAGGAGTGAGAGCTGCTCACTCCTTCATTTCCCATTTTGTTTGTGCCTTGTTGCTAATCTTTGTTTTCTGCCATGGATTCTCATAGACAGCATTTGTTGGTAAAATCACACTGACCTTCAAATCCAGCTAGAACAAAGGATAAGGACAAGCTCTTATTGATATTACATCCCTTTATTAAGTCATGTATCTCTCTTGTTCTCCTGGGCCCAGCTAGACAAATAAAAAGATAAGCAAAGTACACACACACACACACACACACACACACACACTCCTCTTTTTTTTTTTCCTTCTTAAATTGACTCTCCAGTCTTAACTAAAAATTCTCCTAGCTATTTGGGGTAGAGAGCCCAGCTGCAGGTGCAGGGTAGACTCTTCCTCACAACTGGAGACTGCGAGACTGCTGTCGCTCCCTCCTAAAGAATCTGCATATTATTTTCAATACTCTCAAGTATAATATTCTTGTGCCCTCCTGAAGATGGCAAACTAAATTGCAAGCAGCCTCAGCTTTTCTTCCTGATCAATAGAAACAATATGTGCATTTTCAGCTCTCCAAGAAGGTGGCTCTGTTCAAACTCCAGAAAATATAAGGAAATTTTCTAGAAACAGTGTTATGGATTTGCTTTAGGCACTTTCAAACCGAGGTGGGAACCACTTTTTTTTTTTTTTTAATTCTTAAAAAGCTTTTAGGATGGGAACTTTCATCTTAGCTCTCCAAAGATAATGTCTTTACTCATGTTTGTGACTTTCATTTTCAGGTGCAGAACCAAGCTGCATGCTACTTTTGACTTTGCCAAGAAATTTCTATCCAAATGTCTTTATCTTTCAATCTTTCACAGAGCTATTTGAGGTGTAAGGGTGTTCCATTTTATTGAGAAGCCTTTTACCGATTGCCAGAGTTTCTTTTATGTGAACCTTGGCATACTTTAGTAGCTCGGTTGTAAAATCTTTACAATCAGGTTATCTGTCAGGATCTGAGAATGATGTATGAACATTGTCAAGTAGAAGATAAATCTTGTAGGAAAAAAGCTATATTATGTGGTTGCTTGGCACATTTAAATCAGTAATGCCTTGTTTTAACTCCAGGATAATAGTTTCTATGTTTGATAAAACTGAATTATGTTTTAAAAATTCTGTAACACACACTTTGAGACGTTCTCTCATATTCCTGAAAAATTTACTTTAATTGGACATTGTCATATAAGTAAAAAAAAAAAATAAAAAACAGCACCATCAGGAAGCACCTGAATAAAAGCAATAGAAAAACGACTGCAGGAGTGATTCCCTTCCTTTTAAGATATTTTCTTAATTCTTTATAAATATAGATTTTTGTGCATTTCATTTCCATCATTTATTGACTTTCACCTTGTTATAGTAACAGTAAAGAAACATATGGCAAAAGAAAGCTCATACCCTTCTTTCATTGCATTCCATTAAAAAAAGGAAAAATGGAGAGTAGAGTATGATAACCCTCTCTAAAGAAAGCTGGTTTCTTTATTTTTTTTTGTGTGTGCAGGTTTGATAATGATATTAAGAGGAAAGGAGTAATTGCTACATGATTAAATTTGCTCTCTCAGATGCCACTGTCAACTCCTTTTGTTTTATATTTTTACAAGTTACTAGAAAATATATCCAGTGCTTGCTTTTGAAAGATCCAGCCTGGATAATAAATCAAGTGCTCTCCCAAATATTTCTTTCATTGCAGGTCTCACGAACTATGTTGTTGTCCTGGTTATTATTTTCTCAATCTGAAAAGCAGACAAGCCCAGATTCTGGAGGCAGATTGCCTGCTTTCGAATCTTGGTTTTGCCACTTATGAGCATTATGACCAAGGGCAAGGCACCTAATCTCTTTTTAACTCAGCTTCCTCATGTGTAAAATGAGATAATAAAATTATCTTTCCCACGGGGTTAGAACAGTGCCGGGCACAAGTTGGTGCTATGTAAGTGTTAGCCTACTATTATCTGTGTGATGAAGAGACAACCTGTTCTGCCCACAAATATTTGCTCATGCACACGTACCTGACAAACTCATTTGTAATCTGCTCTCCACAGGGCCACCATGTTGCACGACAGAGAATGTAATGTGAATGACACCACCTGGGACACAGTCTGGCGTTCTGCAAGAATGATGTGTCCTGGTGCTGTGTAATTTGGAGGACTTAATCCATCTGCTTCCATTTTATACCTATCAAAGCAGTCCATTAAGTATTCTGCAGAACTTCCAAACCATATTAAGACCATGAATTTCCTCTCTGCATTCCGGAAAAGGAGAGGGGGGAAAAAACTTCCACTGTAGAAGAAAACAAATTAAACAAGTATTGTATCTGTAGAGATGTGACCAAATTGGACTAAAGATGTAGTCAGTTTGATATTCTGCAATTCGTTTAAAACAGGCATGATTCTGGGGAGACCTCAGTGTACTGTGTGCGCTGCTCAGGTGATGTAACATTGCTCTTAGGGAATCGATATAACCAAATGCTTTGGTTCTTTGATCACTTCAGTATTTCTGAGCTGGGGTGCGGGGGTGGGGGCGGGGGCGGGGGATGTTGCTTCCAGAAATGTGACTCTCATAGGCTGAGGGGGATTAAGTTACTCTGTTTTTTCTGTATTTAGGACTTTGAATATGTGATCCCGAATGATGAAGTCACTCATTGTATTCGCATTTCAGAGCTCACCCACGGACATCAATACCCAGGAGACATTAATACTCAGTTGGATTAAGTTCAAAAGAACATTTTGAACTTTAAGGTATGGGAGTTTGCATTTATTTTTTTGTTTCAAAACGATAACCACCTGCTGCCTTGCCCGAGTTGTTTCTTCCAGTCAAAATAATACAGCTCCTAAGATTCATTTTCTCTACTAAGAAGCAGAACATTAGGAGAAAATGTTCTTTTCAGTTTCTTTAGTTTTTGTTTGTTCTCCAAGTTGATCACCAAACCCTGGGGGTAACGAAATTTAATTCAATCATCATAAATATAGCATGAGGCACATTTAGGAATTTTCTAGTCTATAATCCAATCACATCATCCTCCTTTCCTGGCCAGAAAGAGACTGTTGCCAACAGCGCAGAGAAGGCATCTGAAGTTTCCTTTTTATAACTTCATATTGATAACAACCACTTGCAAAAATAGGCTGTGCTCAAAAGATGAAGTGCTTCTTCATATCTCCTCAAAGAATTGTGAAATTACTATGTGCAAATGTTTACAAAGGCTTTAATTAGCACCTTAGGATTTCATATACAGATCTGTAATAAATGGTGGATTGAGATTCGAAAAGTATTTTTTGAAACCCTCACTGTACACAATGCTTTTAATTAAGGCTCAATGCCTCATCCTGACTATATTATTTCTAGGAACTTCTGTAACCCCATATCCAGAGTCTGCAATTCCTTTCTGTCTACAATCTTACTTCCTACCTTTCCAACTACCTTATTCTGCATCGGCTTGTCATGTTATCATGAACTGACCATGACTTCTCTCCTAGATTCTGAATTCTCTGTCTATATTGGACCTTGTCATCATACATTTCAGTAACACTTTTGTATATCAAATGCCCTGAATTTCCATTGTATTTGCCATCTATTTTTATGTGTTTATTTACTTACTTTTATTTCAGTTTGCTTTACAACCTGAATTTTCTATGTTCTCTGCTCTTGGGTTGCTGGAGAAACTCATGCTGATTAGATGCTCTAAAAATTCATGGCACGTAACCTTTGATGAGCCCTCAGCAAAGCCCATGAGCCAACTGTTATGATTTGGAGTCATGGTCCTCAGAGGTACAATTCCAAATATTATTTTTGGCCCTCTCTTCACACCTAAATACCCATCCATAGCCCCTTTCATCTTCACCAAGATAAATAACACCATCTGAGAAAAGCTCAACTCTCAGGTATTTCCCACCTTACATTTTCTTTGTATTTTCACCTGTCACCTCATTTTTTTTTTAAAGATTCATTTATTTATTTTAGAGAGAGGGAGAGAGAGAGTGAAGGAGAGAGAGACAGAGCGTGTCAGTGGGGGTGAGGCAGAGGGAGAGGGAGAGAATCTCAAGCAGACTCCCCATTGAGTGCAGAGTCGGATGCAGGGCTTGATCCCAGGACCCTGAAATCACGACCTGAGCTGACATCAAGAGTCAGACGCTTAACCAACTGAGCCACCCAGGCAGCCCCTCTCACCTTGTTCTTAATTCTTGTAAATTCTCAGTTCTTATAAAGGAAAAAGAAGGTCCATTTTTCTTCTCAAGGCCAGTGGTTTATTCTACACTCACAATACCATCTTTTTTGCAGGACTTACTCCATTAATTATTCCCTTTATTTTACATCTTCAAGCACCGTTTCCATTTATTTCTTCCAATTAACACACTTGTATCTTCCCTTTAAAGTGCTATTTTCTGTGTGACTTCTTCACAGTGACAGTCTATGTCCACTAGCTCCATTTTAAAATAACTTGCTGATTCTATAAACACATAATTTGATGTCTAGCATTCTATTGAGAGAAATACTCTCTTGAAGGCACAATCTTTCAATTGCCATGGATTTTCTTACATTAAAAAAAATAAATCTACATATCTCCCCAAACAAAAATATAAACCTCTTGAAGACAGAGACCTTATCTGTCTGGTCCCACTCCAAAGCATCATCATGGCTTCCCTGCTAGATTGGTGGTTTATGAAGTTCAGAAAATAAATGGAGTTCTGACTAAAATCCAGTTTTCAATGGGTCCATTGTGTCCACGGTCATTTCCCTACAGCATAACTGAGATGACATACTTGATCATTGGAATAATTCTTTCACTGGGTCCTTGCCTGTTAGGTAAAGAGGTCATATAGTGAGGGAGGCCAAATAGAAATCTCTGAAATTGCCCCCACGCTGGAAACACCCATGCTAGCTAATGCATTGTGGGGAAAGGGTGTAGTGAGAGTGTGGCAGAGATTTGTGGGGTAGTGGTCCCTATAATTTCCTTATTTCCTCTTAGTCTGCTGGTCTGGCCTTTACAGATACTGATGGATCCTTTGGAGTAACTGTCGGTCATTGCAGCATCCAACACTGGTAGCCCTTCTCGCAGATGCTGTGTCAGATGTTTCATTGTTACTACAGGAGATACGTTAAACCTCAGCTACATGACACTGGGCCATTAATTTTGTGAATACATTTTAAAGTATTCTGATAAGAAAAGAGGACCAGAAGGGGGGTGCCTGGGTGGCACAGTCGGTTAAGTGTCTGACTGTTGGTTTCAGCTCAGGTCATGATCTCAGGGTTGTGAGATCCAGCCCTTTGTTGGGGTTCCACACTCAGCATGGAGTTTCCTTAAGACTCTCCCTCTGCCCCTCCCTGCCGTGCACACTCTCTCTCTTTCTGAAATAAATAAATATATCTTAAAAAAGAAGAAGAGGAAAAGAGGATCAGCAGTAGTTCATATTCTCCTGGATTGGACAAAAACATTTCTTAATTGGCTTACCCTACCTATGGCTATGTTAACTCATCCTCTTCTCATAATAGGATATGAAGAAATCTGGATGGTTTGGGTAGCCCACAGAACATCACATTAATAAGCTGATTGGGCAGGATGAGCATAAAGTGGCTAATATGCTAGGGGCCTACATCTGGAGCCATCTTATCCTCCTCTTCTCTTGATTTCAATAAAGGTCTTCTCCTCCCTTCTTTAAGATTAACTGGGGAGGGTATGTGCTATGGTGAGTGCTGTGAACTGTGTAAGACTGTTGAATCACAGACCTGTACCTCTGAAACAAATAATACATTATATGTTT